ATACACTTTTGCCCTCAAACTTTCATTATTTCATCTTTTGCCCAAAGTTTTCCTCTTCATTTTGGCTTACTTGGTATCTAAAACTTCTTGCTTTCTTCTTACATTTAATTAGACATACATATCATATTATTTTTCATTTTACTTGTTTAATCAGTATTTTAAAAAAAAATTTTGCCATCAGTATTTAAATACTGAATGTTACAATATGCATGCTCTTAATTGAAAACATATTCAATCAAGTTAAACTGGTTAATTTCAGTTGTGTTGAGGAGTTAGAAAAGTTTTTATGAAACTTTTAAGGTAGATCCAATGTCAGGCTTGTTGGATTTGAAGCAAAACTTGCACGAGTGAATAACGGGGGAATTTCAAAACTATATAATGTGGACAAAACTAATTTACCTATATATAATACGCCTACACGGAATCTGTTAGAAGTTGTTTCCGCGGAGTCTTGCATAAATCAAACATAGCTTCTTTTCACTTCAGATCCTTCATTTTTCTTTTGAAAATTCTGTTACGAACATAAGTCAAAAAGAAGAATCCATCTCAAAGGACTAAGTTATTAGGTGTGAGGGGCTATGGAACTTTAAACTACATTTCAAGTTTCCAAATGTGGGATGCATTATGGCTTTTTCCAAAAGACTATCCTACCAGGCAGGAAAGACCCTTTAACTCAAACTATATTTCACTTTATGAATCTCTCAAATGTGAGACTCATGTAACAATGTACCTTGTTCGAGAGCTGATGTCCCTTGCAATTCCACACCATAATAGCTCACTTAGCTTCTTGCGAGTCAAAATCCTCCATCGATAGCCCAGCCTCTTCGCAAGCATCAGACTCTAAATTAATGAATCAGTGTTGTTAGTGCACTAAATTAAAGGAAAAGCCCATTCCAAAACACTGGTCTATTGCGTGGGAAAGACCCTTAAACTTATATACCACACTGGACTTGTGAAGCCCACAAATTAGGTGATAGCTTATGATAAGATATATACTTTCTGATTGGGTGTTGATTATATGATCTCATGACTTTCATCAACAATATTGCTCGACTACTAAGAATTTGGAGTAGGTATATCATATTGATCATCGATTCTATTCAGGACTTGTATATGAAGGATTCTTCATGATTGAGGTTGATTCTAGCTATTGCAACATCTATGAGAAATCCTTCTTTTTTCTAGGAAAGACCATTAGATCCTAGACACGAGCTTAGTTTTCTCTAGTGACTTATTCCGTTTTGTTTCATGTCTTTTCGTTTCATTTTCTTGTGGATCCTTGTCAAGTTCAGGTCAAGTTTTAGTGGTTTTAATTCATGAAGAGAGAAGTTCTCAAGTGCATTAGTGACAAGGAAAGGAATATTGCCTTGTTTACTTATTTCTATGTTATTATTATTCTCCATGCTCTCCCCATAAATTGATACTTTAGGTCCCATGACTGGTTCTCAAAGAAAGTCACATTCACGATCGAATTCTGATATATATATATATATATATATATATAAATGACTTGTAGCATCATTTAATAATTAGTCTTCTTACCTCTTATTTGTATGCTTGTTAAGATCATAGATTATTATATTATAGTCATGACTTTAAGATTTAATCATTATTCATAAATAAAACCGTAGACTAGAAGATATTGATAGTAACCTTATATATATCCTTGTTAGATGGAGGGCATCGGTGCGGAAATTGCAAAGAATGAGGTCCAAAGTTTAGTAAATTTTGTCAAAGGCGAAGTTCGATATTTATGTTGTTTTCACAATTATGCTGCAACATTTGATAAGAAAAAGGAAGAACTAAAAGCAAAGCTCCTAGATGTAAATAGAATTATAGAAAAAGCCAGAGGTGTTTCTAGGGTTACAGATGAAGCACTACAATGGACACGGGAAGCTGGAAGTCTCATTGAGTGTGACACTAGAAAAGAGAAATGCTTTAATGATAAGTGTCTTAATTGCTGGCAACAATATCGGAAAGGCAAAGACATGGAGGAGAAGACACAACAGATTGACAGACTTTTGAAAAGATGTAACTTTAACATAGTGGCAGGGGCAGCTGATTTTCCTAGCATAAAATACCAATCTTCACAGGATTTCATGCATTTTGAGAGCAGAAAGTCACAGTTTCAAGATCTAAAAAAGGCACTAGAAGATGAAAATTGCAATATGATCGGATTGCATGGCACTGGGGGAACAGGCAAAACCTCAATGGCATTACAAGTGGCTGCTGAACTCGGAGGATCCAAATTTGACAAAGTCATCTTTCTTGTTGTCTCTCAGCTTCTAGATTTCAAAAAGATTCAACATGATTTGGCAAAAGATCTTGATTTGGAATTAAAGGAAGGAAAGGAAGAAGAACATGCAAAGAAAATATGGTCCAAAATCACTAATATGAAAGAGAGGCTTCTTATAATCCTAGATGATGTATGGGAAGAGCTTGATCTTATACAAAAGTTGGGAATCCCATCTAGTCACCAACACATGGATTGCAGTGTATTAATAACCACACGTAATCCACATGTTTGTTCATTAATGAAGTGCCAAAAATTGATTCAAGTTCAGATATTGACTGACAATGATGCATTGGATCTTTTCCTAGCACAGGCTAGCATTAATGGTTCCTCTAGTGGTTTGAGGGTTGTGGCAGAAAAAATTGTGGAGAAATGTGGAGGAGTACCAGTTGCAATTGTAGCAATAGCAAGAGCATTAAAAAATCGGCCTTTATTTGCTTGGACAGATGCTTTGAAAGCTTTGGAATCCAATGATATTAAGCAAGGTTTGACAGAGGCTTATAAATGCCTGAAATTGAGCTATGATTACTTGAAAAATGAAAAAGCCAAAGAAATATTTGTCATATCTTCTTTGTTCCCAGAAGATTTTCAAATTTCTATACAAATTTTAAGCAAATTTGCTATAGGATTAGGCCTTTTTGGAGAGGTGGACAGGTACCATTCAGTAAGAAGCAAAGTGGGTGAAGCCATACTAGAAGTGATCGATTCTTCTTTATTGTTGACTGACAATGAAGAATGCATGAAGATGCATGATTTGGTTCGTGAAGTAGCTTTATGGATAAGAGAGAAAGATACTCAATGGATCATGGATCTTAAAAAGCCTATAAAACAGAACTTGCGGTATTTGGTTTGGAAGAATGATGGTTTTCCTGGTAAATTCGATGGAAAGAACCTAGAAATTTTAATGATATTTCTAGGTGGTTCAAAGAATTTGGAAGTACCTGATACATTTTTTGTAGAGATGATGAGGCTGAAAGTTTTGTATTTAGCAAGTGATGAACAAATTTCAGTTCCAACACTAATATATTCATTTCGATCATTAAAGGATGTTCGGACTCTCAACCTATTGAATTTGAAATTAGGCGACATCTCCTTGCTAGGAAACTTACATAGGCTTGAGAGTCTTTGGTTATTTGATTGTTCAATCATTGAGCTACCAAAAGAAATTTTAAACCTAAACAAGTTGAGGTTGTTGGAGGTAGATAAATGTGAAATTGAAAAGAACAATCCTTTTGAAGTGATTGGAAAATGCTCCCAACTGGAAGAATTGAGCTTTGTAGGAAATCAGGTTGACATAAAAGAAGCATGTGTTGTTTTTGAAAATTTATCTCCTTCTACGTTACATAGATATAAAATATCTTGGTGGAATCTTGAAAGGATTCGGGGAATAGAAAAGTATGGTTTCATATCAAGATGGTTTTACCCATGTGATTGGCGGAATCTAATTTCAGAGGCAACATTCAAGCAATTTGTACGAACTGCCGAGCTTCTTATATTAGGAGGGTGTAAAGAAACAAGATGGAAGAATCTTGTCCCTGATATTGTTCCAGTGGAAGAAGGAGGCATGAATGATTTAATTGTTCTTCGTTTGTATTCTTGGCCTGACATGCAGTGCCTCATTGACAGTAAGAATCATGAAACTAATGTGACTACTTTCTCCAAGTTAGTTGAACTAAATCTCAAAGAGATGGATGTTGAAGATTTATATCGAGGTTCTTTGCCGTCTGGCTTTCTAGAGCAATTAGAGACTATGAGGTTGACGAAGTGCCAAAAATTGAGAAATATATCATTTGATGGCAAGTTGAGCCTGTGTCATCTTAAGGTCATGGAATTGAATGCTTGTCCAAAATTGACATCAATTTTTCAATCATTCACCGCTCAGAGTCTCACGCAATTGGAAACACTAAGTATTGAGAATTGTGATTCCCTAGAACACATCATAGCATATAAGAGCTCGGAAGGAGAAATAGCGGGTGGTGATAATGAAGAGAAGAGTTATGAGTCATTGTTCCCAAAATTAAGAACTCTTCAAATTAAACGATGTGGAAGATTACGAATGATCTTGCTAGTTCTTTTCGGCGGAGCTCTTGCATCCTTGGAAGAGATAACGATAAGTGACTGTGAGCAGCTGAGTTATATATTTGATAAGTTCCAAAATGGAGACCATACTATGCTGCCCTCACTAAAGAAAATGGAACTTTCTCAAGTACCAAGTTTCATCAGCATTTTTCGAGAATATCACAAATCCGTGTCTTTGTCAATGCAAAAGCCATCACCTCCAATTTTGAGAACAAAGACATCTGCATTCTCTTGGGCTCCAATGTGTTGTTTTGGGCATAAATCGAGTGAAGAGACCAACGTCGCCGTGTGTAAGGACAGAGTTCCGAACGACGCAACACAACAGGTGTGTTACTCTTATTGTTCCCTATTTTCGTTTTTCTCTGATATTTAATTGATATGTTCAATTAATAGAATAGTAATAAAACAATTCATAAAAACTAAATAAAATAAGGTAGGAGTGTTAAAAATATTTGATTCAAATATCACTGCTCTGGATTCAAAATTTACAGTATTCGTCATCGATGTGGATATAGCATTCCATTAAATATTTTAAATAGCAAACTATTATATGTGGTCTGGTATTTGAACAACGGTTTCTGTTTGTAGGGATCATCATTTACATCCAAGACATGGTTTGAAACTTCTGGAATCATTCTGAGACAACTATATTTCAATGTCGGTCATATCAAGAAGTTGAAATTGGCACAAGTGTCTTTAAATTCGGTATCATTATTTACTTTATCCATGGCCTCGTTGATATTGTGGGAAGAGCTCACAGTTAAAGGATGTGATGGATTGAAGAACTTGATAACAATGGAGGAAGATGATTATAATGATAAGATGATGATGAGTTGCCACTCTGTTTTTCCGAAGTTAGAGAAACTAGAAATCTTGGAGTGCAAGGACTTGCAATTTTTATTTCCATCTTCAATATCTATAGGACTTCAAAATTTGAAGTCATTGATGGTCCAGAATGCTCTTGAGTTAAAATATGTTGTTGGAAAATACCATCATGTGGATCATCAATCAAATCAAAATCATAACGTTGAGCTTCACTTTGATCTCCCGAATTTAGTGTCACTCTGCCTTGAAGATGTACCAATGCTTATCAGCATTTTTGCAATGAATTATAACTTGGCATGGCCTTCTCTAGAGGATGCTACTTTGGAGAATCAGAACGCTGAATCTTTTACTGATGATTTGCTGGTTTGCCTAGAAGGACAACCAAACAAGAAAACCATCAAGGTACTTAATGCTCCATTTAACTTAATATTATTTATTTTATATATTTGAGAATTGCTACTAAAAATTGAAACTTTGATTTGATTAAAAAATTATTTTTGAATCTTCAAATATGTTAAGCTTTTTAGGTTAATTGTATAACTTGACAAAGTTTATTTTGCTCTAAGAAAGAATTGGAAGAAAAAAAGAGAGAAGTAAATATAAATTTTAAGTCATCACATTAAATGAATTAGCTTTCACATACGTCAAATTTAAAAAGGTTTATTTTTTGTATTTTTTTTATCGATGAAAATTGAGGTAAAGTACATTCCAATCTAGCTATAACTTTTTATTTTGTAAATGAAGTTTTAAATGCAACAGTTTGTTCTTAAAACTATTAGAAAAATTGGAACAACTATTAATAAATTAAAGTTAATATATAATGTTAATAGTTGATTCGAGTGGTTTATCAATTATTTCATAAGGTTATTTTTCCTGTACATTAATATTTTTTTTATTGTTGTATGTAGGAACTAGATACATCTGAAAATGTGATGCCTCCTATTCGAGCAACTCAATGCCTTTCAATACAATCATTGAATAATATTAAAGAGATGACTCTCTTGAATTTTTCCAAATCAAAGACATTGTTTACTCTACCAACGGCCGCCATGATTCTATGGGAAAATTTGACAATCGAAAGATGTGAGCAACTAAAGTACATTGTGGCGGATGAGGGAGAAGTTGGACCTCTCATGAATCACAGATCCATCTTTCCAAAGTTGAAAGTGTTAAGGGTTTCAAATTGTGATGCACTGGAATATCTATTTCCAGCATATGCTTTCAGATCACCCTCACATTTGAAATCTCTAGATATTTGTAATGCTTCCGAGTTGAAATATGTGTTTGGAACAAGCCATCATGAGAATCAAAATATCCAAACTTACATTGATTTCCCTGTTCTGGAAGGGTTATATTTTCAATCCCTACCAAGGCTCGTGAGCATTTGTCCAAAAAATTGTTATTTGAGAGGCTTATCTTCTCTAGAGTCATTTTATTTGGAAGTGGCTCCAGAGTTTAATATTACATCTTTAACTGATTTCACGGTTCATGCACTTGGAGGACAACAGGATTCCACCCCTGCACAGGTATGGCTTTGTTCAACGTTTTCTTTTGGTGTTTTGTAATTTTCTTTTCAATTGATAAGTTAATTTTGATATATTAACGTTAATTGCTATTTATAATTTAAATATGATATTACAGGCAGTGCAGATGCTCTTGCAATCTATAGAAACTATTCTATTTTGTGAATCTAAAATAGAGGAGATTTTCAATTTAACACATATGGAAACAGAGGAAAAAGGGGAAGGACGTGAGCCACTGACATCAACCTTATGGCGGTTGGAGTTGGAAAGTTTAAGTGAGTTGAAGAATATATGTGTGGGCCCCAAATATATGCTTAGCCTCAACAACATTTTAGATTTGAGAATCAGAGGATGCAACAAGCTTAAAGTTATCTTCTCGAACTCTATACTGAAGAGCCTACCGAAGTTGCTGCTGCTGAAGATATCATCATGCCAGGAATTAACTCACATCATTGAGGAAAATGCTGATGATGATCATTTGTGTCATCAACCATGCTTTCCAACCCTACGTTATCTGATTGTTGAAGGTTGTGACAAGTTGAGATACTTGTTCTCTATCACAATTTCTGGTATCCTTCCAGATTTACAATATTTGGATATAAAAGAATCTTCCAAACTTGAGCACGTATTGATCAGACAAGATGAGACAAAAGAGATGGGGATGATGGAAGTGCTTCCCGAAATTACAAATCTAACCCTTGAAAAGCTTTCAAGCCTCATCAGTATCTGTAATGAAGTTGATTTTCGAAAATTGGAAAAATCTTCTAGAGTGAATGATTGTCCTCGATTTTCTTTCTACGGTATGCATTTAGAGAAGTCATTCTTCAAAATTAAATATTATTATGTTAATTTTAATATAACATTGGAAATCCGTTGTGCAGAAATCACAACTCCTCCTCAGGTTCAAGAAAAGCTTTCCTCGCATATAAATATGGGAGAAGGCAAAGAGAAACGAGGCTTGGAAGCAGAACAATCCTCAACTATGTCACCAGAGGTGAGATTATTGTTGCTTTCGAATATAGATAGATTGTTTATTACAAATTAAGCCCTCTGCATATTAATCTTTATATATATAAGTAGGATGTGTTGGTTCGGAAAAGAGTGTTGATCTGGTTTTTTTTTAAAAAAAAAAGTGTTGAAAAATAAAGAAATCAGAGCAAAATACTCCAAACCGTTAATGTGGTTAAGAATATTTTTTTTGAAAAAATACTTTTTTTATTAAAATTTATGTGGAACTACTTTTTGTTTACTGATTTACCCTTCATCCCTAAATTTTGGCCAAAACTATTTCAAAAAATTTAAGAATTTTTTCTTTAGCTTAATTTTATTTTTTTAAACAGTTATTTGTTTAATGCTTTTATCATACTGGGACACAAAATTAAGTAATTTAGTTAATATGACCATAAAAAATTGAATGGAAATTTGATTAATTATTTAAATAAATATATAATCAATCAAATGAGTTATAAATATTTGCTACAAAATTTTTGTTTAAAAAATTTAAATATTGTTGCTCTTTCTAATATAGATAGATTGTTTATTACAAATTAAACCCTTTGCTTATTAATCTTTACATATGTACGTAGGATGAGTTGGTTGAAAGAAAAATAACGAAAAATAAAGAAATAATTAAGGACCCACAACAATCAGTAGTTGCTGCACCAGACATGACAAAGGTATGTCCTAATAATTTTTTGCGTGGGTCGATCAGACACACACAAACACGAGATGAATTCAACATATATATTGCCCATAATTTTTTATTTCTACTGCTATATCACATGCATCATTATATGTAAGCGTTCTAAAGAAGCAAGGAAAAATTTTTGAGGACTAATATACCTTTTTTTTTTAATATGGGATAATTAAAATATTAGGATACCTATTAAATATTTTCCAAAAGTGAAAATATTATCATTTCAATTATGGACATACAGAAATATACAAGACATATGTCTAGGACTTAAGCATGTTTCTTATTCATATCTTTATATAGGATGAAGAATCGGTTGGCAAAGGAATGAAAAATGGAAAAACTATGATGGATCCACAACAACCCACGAATGGCACCTCAAAATCGACAAAGGTATATTTGATAGTATTTGATTGTCTGAGAATATCAGGTATTTGGCATGTTTATAAGGAAACAGCCATCTTTTGATCCAAATGTTTTTCAACAAAGATGAGTTTAAAATTCATTTGTATATGTATTCATCTGTTTACAAATTCAACATTAACTAGCTAGAATTTTTTTTTTCTTTCGGGCTTGTCTGTCAAGGTAATCAAGAAATAAGAAAGTAAGTTGTTAAAGCGCATCCTATTCGAAATACATAAAAAATGGCAACTTTATCGTCGAATTTAAAATTCCTTAGAATGCTAGTAGCAAAAATATTTCTTGAATAAAGCAATATAATTACTGATTTATCATATTGTTTTATGTAGAATCATAAAGAAGTAGGGTATCCATATATTACTGAAGATCTCAATTCAAATGCAATTGAAACAACAAATCAAATAACAGGTTTAGAACCAATAAACACCGTGCCAACAACTTATGCTTCTTTTTCACAAGATAAATCTTCAAAGATGAAACTTTAGTTCTTTCTCATACAATATATATATATATATAAATATATTGTTATGCTAGATGAGCTGACTTGCACGTCTTTCTTGTTCATCTTTGTATAGGATGAGTTGGTAGGCAAAGATGAGGAAAAGGAAACGCTCAAGATGGATCCCCAGTCACTTCCAAAAACCAGAGTTGGCATACAATCTTATAATTCAACAAATATTAAGAATTCACTGAAGATTGATTTCCTAATACTTTTGTATTATACAAAAATCCAACTTAAATATCTTTGATGGTCTGCAGATTGTAGAAGCAAGAGCTGAAGAACGTAGTTCAACAGAGACCATGGATCTAAGCTCCTTAACTTTTGAAAAGGTGGGCTTCTTGCAATCATTTAAACATGTAATGACGTTGTCATTGGTATTATAATTTATCCATCATTTCGAATAGAAGGTACCTGCTCCTATGAGTCCAAACCTCGATGTCCTTTCGGCTGGAGGCATCACCAGCAAAACTACTGAAATTTTTGAAGAGGAAGAGGAAGGTAAGATTTTTGTGTCTTGATTTCAAAATTTCCAGCCTTGATTACTTACATAAATTAGGTTTTATAGGTGGCTTGAAAGCTGCCAGAAGACAGAGAAATCGCACGATGGCAATGGGTTCTTCATTGAGAAAAGAGGACGACAATTCTCTTCATGGTATTATTCCTTTCTTTAAATGAAATATTTCAACCTTTGGTTTGCACTATATTTTTATATATTTTATTTATTATAGGTGAACCTTCTGTGCCACCCTTACCAGCAAGTCCCAAGCAAATTCATTCACCTACTCCTTCCAAGACTACTTATGGTGAGTTCCTCTGCTATCTTCTTTTGTTAACTCTTCCTCCGTGTATTTTAAAATTTTGAAGACATTTCATATTCCAACGTTGACTCATTTAGGAGCAAACATCCAAGACAATGTTGAAACCACTAAGCAACCTTCTCATGCTATGGATGCTATTCAATATTCCAGTAAGTCTTGTGCCCTTACCATATAGCATGTTTGCTTTCATAATGCTTGACTTAGTTCCTCGTTGAATCTGAGTTTGCGTTTATTATATCTCATTATTTTCCAATCTGATGGCTTTGTTAGGGATGGCTCCTTCTATTTATGACACCAACAATGTTTTGAGTGTTCCTGGGGTGAAAGAGATAGTTGATATGATGAAACTAGAGGGTGCTGAGCCTTCCATGCTAGCAGAGGCATTCAAGACTCACCCACAACTACGCCTTTCTTCAAAGCACCGAAGCATTGAGTTGTTATGCTTC